ACAGGGAAGGTACAGGGAGCTGGAGCTTGGCCCTGGAGGGCTGGCCCGGGGAGACCAGGATTTTCTTGACAGGGACGGCCCAGGGAGCAGGAACTTGGCCCTGGAGGGCTGGCCTGAGCTCCTTACTCAGGGCCTGGATGGCAGCTCTGTCTAGGCAAAACCAATCGAGGTAGATGTTGTTCGAAAGATAGAGAGCACTGGTGTGCGGCCGGTACCAGCGGGCATGGCATTCTCTACCATCCCTGTGCCACCCAGACATAAAGTGTTGGTAGCAAGTGAATGTGGTGCACTCTGAGCATAGGAGTTAAGGGTAGGAGGGAGCAGCATCCCGGTGGTGCCTGGCCTGACCCTGAGGAAAAAGGGTACAGCAATCATGAAGGAGGGGGACAGTCAAGAGCCACACTCATTTTTGTGGCCACTGCCCTTCTCTCGGGACATTACCTATCCCCTCTGTGAGCAGCTTCTTGCTCCCCAACTGCAACCACCTCTTGGTGGGTGATGGCCATGATATGAGAATGTGTGGCAGGGCAGGGCACAGAGATTGGCATCTTCCCACAGTGGGATGGCCCGTCTCCAAATTCCCGTGTGTGGGCGTCATGGCTGCTGCAACATCTGGTTGTGCAAATAGCCATTTTCGGATGAACTGGATCAAGGCCAAGGAGGCACTGCTGTATGGGTTGGTGGTAGCGTATGCAAACATTGCCCTTGCCACTGCCAGGTGCAGCTCTGCCCCCTCTTGCCACCATGCCTTTTGGCGCATGGCCACGAAACGGGTGTCCAAAAGATGTCCACTCTGAAGCACTGGAATGATTCCGTTGGCCTCATGGCCAAAGGTGTACCTTACGAGTAGGCCATGGAGGAGGGTCTTCTGGGAGCAGAGGCCATCATATGGGCAGTGATACCCTCCCCCCCCCCCATGGTGGTGGATGGCTGCAGCATTGAGGTTCTGTGTAGTAAGTGTCATGGTCTCCGCTAACACCTGCCCCCAGCTGTGGGACCCAGGTCCTGCCACCCACTGCCTCTCACCAGCTCCCCATAGTCCTGACCGATGATCCTATGCCCCACAGACAACTTGCAAGGTGGGGATGCTGCCACAGGCCCATCCTCTGGGGTTGGTGAGGAGGGCTCAAAATGCAGTAGCACCCAGAGCAGCCAGGTTTCAATCCCTGCTACCACAGGGGAGGGTGACTCTGACACCATCATGCTCCCACCTCCACAGCCAGGGTGCTCCTATCACACCCCACCCCGGGAACTCTCACCATGGCCCCTGCCCCCACTTGTCTAGTGAGGAGATGGAGCTGAGTGACGGGGAGGAGCATCAGGGTTGCCAGGCTATGAGACTGGGAGCAGAGAGAGGTAAGGCACCTCCGGGGGTGGGGGGGTGCTGTAGGGCCTCAGTGGCCACCTGAGAGCTCCCGTGGACTGACTGATGTGTTCCCCCCCCCCCAAATGCCCAGGTCTGTATTCCCTGACATTCACTGCTAATGTTGTGGACCGACTATGCACCCTGACCCCAAGGAGGCACACATCAATGGCAGCTGCTGTGGTCCTGTGGACATGTTGCATCCCAGGATCCCTGGCCCTGGAGGAGGAGGTGACGCAGCGGGTGGACTTGACGTATGTGAATGTCAGTGGCTCCGCCCTGGTGGACAGAGTGGGGCAGGGCAGGTGCCCTTGGGCCAGGTGTCACAGCTGCTGGTGGCCCGCAGGAGGGAGGAGATCTTGGCCCCTTGCCTGGCATAGCCCATCCCACACACCCTGTCCCTCCATGTCGAATGGGAGCAGTTGGAGAGCCATTGAGAGTGGTGGGAAGCCTTTTTCAGGGGGCAGCAATGGACGGAGGGGCTGGCAGCATCTGTAGTAGTAATTGCATACAAACCAATTTATACGGTTCTGTTCTTTTGTCTTTAAGCATCTGTAATGGGAACTGCTGGGCACCTGGAGGGGCTTCTTGCTGTACACACAAACACATGAAGCTGCCTTATACTGAATCAGACCCTTGGTCCATTGAAGCCAGTATTATCTACTCAGCCTGGCAGCAGCTCTCCAGGGTCTCAGGCAGAGGTCCTTCACATTACCTACTGCCGGATCTTTTAACTGGCGATACCGGGGACTGAACCTGGGACTTTCTGCATGCCAAGCAGATGCTTTATTACTGAGCCACAGCCCCTCCTGTAGCAATGACATGGGTGAGGGTCAGGGGCGCATTGAGAGGCTTCTGGGGGGATCTCACAGAGTCTCTCTGGGGGCCCCAGCACTCCTGCTCCTCCTTCTGCTGTGCCTCTAGTGGGGCTGGCATGCAGGTTGGCATGGGGATGCCCTCAATGGTGTGGGCACCTGCTTGGCTGCCATGGCTGGTGGGGAACACCCTCATATCCACATCCTGGTCTGCCGTCACCCTCTGGGGCCCTGGGCACTGTGTGTGCAGAGCACCACCGTGGGGTGCTTGCAGCGCTGACGGGTGGTGCCCCTGTCTCCACTGACAGGAGACCAGGGCTTGTGACAGGAGTTGTTCTCTTTAAGGAGGGTGTGTGTTCCCCGTATGTTCCCCCAAGAGTGCTACGGTCTGGGGCCCAAAACCTTCTAACCATACCGGGCCCCAAGGCTGCTAACCTGGCCGTCACAAGGGCTAGGGCTTTCTCGGTGGTGGCCCCCACCTGGTGGAATGAGCTCCCGGAGGAGATCCGGGCCCTGCGGGACCTGGTGCAGTTCCGCAGGGCCTGTAAGACGGAGCTCTTCCACCAGGCTTTCAATTAGGGCCGCCACCGCCCCCCCCCCCGCTATATACCATCATGTGGGGGGGGTGAGGGCCCTAGGAGGGCAGGAACATCTGTTTAATACCTATTACACAATGCCCACTGGGGGATGTTTGGGTGTGTGGTCTCCCCTCTCTGATTCTTTTTGGAATGGATGTAGCTTGAGCACTTTATTGTCTTATTGTCGTTATTGTAGTTGGGTTTTTAAATTATATATTGTGTTTTTTAAAACCTATTATTGTATTGATGTTTTTATGAGCAGGTTTCTTGCAATGTAAGCGGCCCTGAGCCCTTCGGGGGAGGGCGGGGTATAAATGTAACAAATAAATAAATAAATAAAAGTGTCGCTCCTGTGGCCCGCCCCCTGCCAGTAATGGACGCTTGATGCAGCCTCCTGGACTCATGGTTCCTATTTTCCTGCCTGCCCTATCAAACCACCCCTGCTTTGCAAAAAGGCCAGAATGGAATGCTGTGGCAGGGTTGCCACAGACGCTGCCGCGCCAGCACCTGGCAGTGCTATTGGGGCACCTTTTTCCCCATTCGGCCACCGTGTACCGGCGACTAGGTGTGCCATGGCCAGCTGCCACAGTGTAGGCACAACACAGGATTGCTCTGCCCATCATCTCATACTCACTGTTTACACCAAAAGCAGCAATCATATGAATCTACTGTAAGTGTGACATGATTTTAGTTTGAGTCCAGTGGCACTTTTAAGACCAACAGAGTTTTAGTCTGGGTAGAAGCTTCCGTGTGCAGGCACACTTCTTCAGATACCATTTAGAGCCTTTTTGGAAAAAAAAATTCTTGGCACTTTTAGGGTTTTACCGGCTATTTTTATCATAATTCTAGTTTTAGTTTTGTGCCATGGTTTTTATGAAGAAATTTCCTGGCTACCTCAACTGTGGATAAAAACACTCATTTTTCCAGGGCTCTAGTCCAAATTAAGATGCTGCAAGTAAGGACTATATGTACATTTGGTTGGGGGAAGTACTGCAGTTTCGGTAGCCATGACAAGTTTTGTTTGAGAGAAGAGCAAAGCTACAACAAAATGGAAACAGAACTAATTTTAGCCACTTTGTCAGAAATAAATGAATGGCTGGTTGGTGACAATGGGAGCAACTGATGCAGTTTTGTAATCTGCCTGTTGACTCAGGTTATTTTAATACATCGTTTTCTTTTGTGAAGTCTCATGTGCTAACCTAGAGAGGAGACAGAGAGGCACAGTTATTAGGGACACTGACAAAGAACCCCATTTCTACAGCCTTAGCTATTTCCAAATAATATCTCCAAATATTATGGAGGTGGCCCTAGTCCAAACAATTGTCCATCTGAACCCCATCCACTTATACATTAGGGCTCACCCCAATTCACTCTTCTCCAAAGGATGGTCACTCCCCAAACCACCTCATCTTTCCCTCAAGTTCAGTCCCCTTAGGGAGTCCCTAAAAGAGTTATGCATTTCTCTTACCCCACATAACTCATTACATAACAATCCATTCTGGCACCATTGAATATTGTGCCATGCATGGTACTCAACTTATCTGGCAAAATAGCTTGTCCACAAGCCCACATCATATTTGTATGAGAGTCTTTGCTGTGGGGGATTGAATTCTTCGCTTTCTGATGTGATTCCCAAACTTGCTGTGCCCAGCAAGTTAAATCTCTAGCTTGGGGCATATCAATTGTAATAGTGGTACATCATCACAGTCTGTAATAGCACATTGCTGCGCAGTGACATTACATCTGTATTATACATCAGAATAATGAGGAACAGGGTTCTTTCACCCACAACTATATTTTACTGATTGTATCCATTCTCTCACCTTACTGTGGAAAAACACTGGAGCATTAATGAGGATAGCCAAAGTTGGTAAAGTTTGTGTTATGTACTAGCTGAGCAGTAAAACCAGTTATTAGAGTTGTCATGAGCCTCTTCTCATGTGAGTACCAGCATTATGCATTGCAGTAATTTCTAAAACATTTCAGAACAATTTCAGCACAAACCTTAACAAAATTATGCCCTTCTAAACCCAATGACTTCAGTGGACCTAGAAAGGAGTAAACTCTGCTCAAGACGGTAATGTTTAAGACACTAACCTAAGTTGATGTAATCAAGGAAGAAGAGATTGGATTTATACCCGCCCCTCACTACCCAAGGAGAGATACACACTGCATAAAACACGCAAGACCATTCTTTTATACAGGCACCATGGTGTATGTTTCTTTTATCCAATGTGTGGGAAAATGAGTTAAGCTGTAATCTTAATAATTGCTGTCTATGGTGCATGGTTGCCTATAATGGACTGGTAGAAGCACTAAATGCGGTACAAAGCAGATTTAGTCCTGGCTTGTGAAGAAAGAGAAATATTGGGTCTGAATATTGTTTAATGACAGAGGCACACTAATTTTTCCTTATTTTCTCGGACACTTTAAAAGACTACACAGTAATTGTGTTTTGGAGGAAAAAACAAAGCAGACAGGGAGCCACCACTCAAAAAGTAGGGGAAAACAGCTCAGGTAAATTAACAACAGTACAGTCTTATCTATGGAAACAAACATAGTGGGTTTATGTTTTTGTTACTTATGATGGCACAATTAATAGTCAGGTTTGGTTCAGTGTGAAAATCCTAATAATTCCAGTTTATCCCCCAAAGCTTTAAGAACAGCAGCTTGGGTCCAAAGACCCATGAAAAGATCTTTGGTACATTACCCTACTTGCTCCAGCTCCTGGAAAGTTGTTCCTGAGGATTGGCAGGACCTTTGGAAAGAGGGCTGAACTGAGGAGGAAGAACAGGCCAAAATTATCCGCATCTCCTGCATAAGTGGAACTGCCCTGGTATATATGGATCCAGGCCACAGAATGTGCAGTGCTATTACAGTACAATAACCAGCAGTAAAGGAAGGTATAGGGTTGCTGTCATTAAGTATACATAGCCAGCTGTAACTCCTACTTCTAGAAATAAGTTCCACTGTGTTCAGTGTGGCTTACTCACAGATAAGTGTCTGCAGGATTGCAGCCTGAGAAAATGTATTTTAGAAACTGGCTGAAAGAAAAGAAGGCCAAACTATAATATAATAATACTGATTAATAATGGCCCTTTTTTGGTCATGTGAGCCATTGCACTGTTGCTATTTCCACTGGCAGAAGAAGAAAACAACTAAAATGACATCACTGTTTTTTGTTGTGTGCGCCTTACGCCTTCCTGCCCAAATGAAAGGGACAAGCTGAATTTGCAGTAGACACCTCATGATGAATCTGAGTCATATTTTTTAAACAACATACAGTACATAATAGAATTTATCTTGTGGCAAGTAGGCATTATACTTATAGAAATCTTTAATACCAAGACCATGGGGTTAATGAGGTACATCAATAGTTGCATAACTCAGTTATTATCTTCAAGGAATGTTATTGGGGGGGGGGATCAAATAGTAAAAATAAATTCTGACTCAAAACTAGCGAAGTTTTATTTTATCTTTGTGTGCTTGCAGAATGGAAATGCTGTCGTTATTTTTTAATTAAGACCGATAATTAATTGGTAGCTCATAATATGCTAGAGATGCAGAAAATCCAATAGATTGTCTGGTTCAATCTAACAGGTTGTCTGGTATCCCCGCTGTAAAGAAAAACAACGTATATCAGAAAAATATGTAACCCTTCACCACCTGTATGTACCTTTTTAATATGATAATTAGTGGGGATGTTGAGTTTTCCATCTAGATTATTTCAGCATTTTAAGCAAATTATTTGCAATGTCATGTTGCTTGCAGATTTGGAAATATGTGCTCCTACAGGCATTTCAGAAGTCTGTTCCTTGTCTTGGTTCAGTTTACTCCCCTATCCCATTTCCACAGTTCTGTGCTCAGAGCCATCCTTTGCGGCTCACCTCCCATTAGAAATATATCATCTTTTTGCACTAGTATTTCAAACTTTCCATACCTGGGACCCACCGTGAGCCTGTAAGTGGCAATACAGGACCTGCTAAATTGCAACATGTGACAGTCACATATCAGAGTTACAGAACAAAGAGCAGGAATACTGCCTAGGAATCCCCTCAACCACTAAGTGATCTCACCTGTCATGCTGTTTCTACTTTCCGTGTATGTGCAAACAGAGGCAGGGAGTGTAACAACCTTTCTCTCACTATGTGCCTCAGCAGCAGGTCCTTCCAAAAAACAAAAAAGGTGGCTCAATAGGGGATTGTAACCCAGCAGGTGGGGCTCCATGGCCCACCTGAGTGCCCCAACCCATGGATTGAAGACCACAGCTTTAATGGCAGCAAGACAGTATGCTAGAAGAGCAATGTAGATGTTGCAGCAGTCCATTCTCCTGCTCTCCTCTTTACTTGCTGTAGCTAATGTATGAGAATCTCGAAACCAGCCAGTTTACTTTTTTTCACCTCGCCAGAAAATACACCAATATAGCATTACAATGCACTTCATGGGTAGCACAACTGTGGGGTGCCCAGCCTCACTTCTTTTCACTTCAAGGCTATGTCTTCAGTACTCATGCCACATCTCCACAGTGAGCATGGTCACTTAAGGAAGCCGGGCTGATTCTTTCCCCCACCTTTTGGACAGTGCAATTCTTGTTATTGTGATTGCACTCTGCGTTGTGGTTGTACAAGTGTCCTGGGAACTTACAGGATATGTGCTGTGATTACTGACCAGTGACCCAACTGCTGCCTCTGCCATTTTGTAAATTTCTGAAACAAATGCTGAAAGCTGCGCTACTATGAAAGCACCAGTCTTGTGCAAGGGGTGATCAGCTACATTTTCTTCCAGCCAAAATCAGCTCACTTTCTTTTGGGCCTGGGTGGGATGTTATATTATTGCCACGGAAAGATCATGTACACGAGTATCCAGCAGTGGTTTGCCATTGCTTGTGGCACTCTGTGTCATTTTATGGGAAAACACTGAGTTGAAGACATGTGGCCTCACCATGTTTATGTTTAAACAGATTCCGTGGGACACAGAATAACAGCTGTAAGAAATGCACATTTCCTGCACTAATGGGATATCTAACTGAGGGGCATTCATTACTGAAAGAGCCTTATGATTATAAATTCACGATTAGAGACCAAGAGATGGCCCGAAGAGGCTACCATAGAAAATGCCAGTTTAAAAATATATATTCATCAAGTTACTCAAAGGTAGCAATGCTATAAGAGTAACAACAATCCTAACTCACGAAGGTGACAGGTTTAATTTTAACCTTCTCTGATGAAGCCTTTACTTTGCTACGAGCGAGTTACCTTCGCTTCAGCACTGAAACACAGTCTTTCTTTAAAGGCCCAAGCTGCATGTGGGCATCAACACTTTCAAGGAAAAAAGCTGGTTTGAGGTTGTGTGTAAATAGTGATGGAAACTGGTGGTTGATCTTATTCTGAAAGGGATCAAAGTGGCCCTTTTTGAAGCGGGCAACTTTGAACTGTTGTAGGCACGTCGTCTTGGAATCTTTGACTCCATAGAATGTCAGCGCTTTCTCTGAATATTCCAAGTACACCCCAATGGTATGAAAGAAAGGCTGTTGTATCACACAATCAAAACCACCAAACCAGGCAACATAGCTCTGTCCATTCCACTGCAGACAGCAGGACTTCTCATTCCTACCCAGGCGGCCCCTGTCATATGACTCCCGGGGGCTGAAATCTTCTGCGATGATACCAATGCTAACCCAGCCATCAATGATCTCCACTTCCCAGTAATAGTTGCCACGGTTCATTACATTCTCTCCCAGCACCTGCTCACAGTTGATGAACCTTGTTGGGCTCTCAGGGTAGGCGATGGGATTCAGCACACGTTTTGCACCCTTTGTTCCAAAAAGTTGAAGGAATTTATCAGCTGTATCACTGTCCAGATCTATGATGAACGCAACTGTGTAGAAGGTGAAGTAAAAGACAGGGAAGAGGGTAAGTAAAACAGTCATATGGTATTATTCTTTTCTCCTGGACACTGAAACTGCAGTAATTGATGGTGCAGTGATACTCTTCAGCAATGTTCCCTCTAAGCTGTGGAGTCCTGTGAGCAAAAATTCTACTTGGTGAGCTACTGACATTAAAGTTGTGAGCGAGCGATTTGGCTACTGCATAAATCCGTTTGCTCTGGAGCCCTCCTTCCTGAGCAAAGACAAGAATGTGTGATCCGGAGGCTAAAAAACGGTGAGCTGGCTCACGCTAACTCAGCTTAGAGGGAACACTGCGTCTTCAGTACTACCCTAGACTCCCTTGGAAGTAAACATTTTAAATCCTATGCCGCGAAAATTCCGATGTTACACCCCAATTAAACTATGTAAGACAAACACATTTTTGTAACTGCTTAATTTTTTGTGCATCAACTTTATTTGCGCATTTTGGCCCTAAGCTACTAGTTATGGCTAAATTTCACTGAAAGCAGCAGATTTTGTGTGTTCTTGACCTACTGGTTTTGTTGATTTCAATGCGACAATATAATTACAACTAACTTTAGCTGGGGAAGGAGGACTTTGTCTTCATTCTCACTTTTTTTTGTAAGCACAAAAATAGAAAGGTTCCCATTTCCAACATGAGAGAAGGAGACATAGTAATTGTTTAGACACAGAGCAATGAGTCTGCACTCTGCAGATAAGGTAAAGGTAAAGGTTCCCTTGCTCGAAAGCCAGTCGAATCCGACTCTAGGGTTGCGGTGCTCATCTCCGTTTCCAAGCCGAAAAGCCAGCACTGTCCAAAGACGTTTCCGTGGTCATGTGGCCGGCATGACTAAACACCAAGGTGCACGGAACGCTGTTACCTTCCCACCGAAGTGGTACCTATTTATCTACTTGCAATGTCTTGCTTTCAAACTGCTAGGTTGGCAGGAGCTGGAACTAGAGATGGGAGCTCACTCCATCATGCGGCACTCGGGTCTCGAACTGCTGAACTACTGACCTTCCACAGCCTGCAGTTCAGCGTCTTAACAACTTGAGCCACCGCAGCTCCTTATATACATTGTACTAAATGAAGCAGTACTGATATTACTGACCCCCAGAGAACCCTTCTATCCTCCAAGCATCTAGGGAAAACTGTGATGCTTAGGGGGTTGCCAACAGGCCTAAAGAAAAAAACATCCTGCCCTTTAAACAGAGGTTGGATGGGATGTTATTCAGCTCCATGCCATGAAAACCTTCAGCTTTCTACACATTAAAGCCTCTGTTAAAGCAACAGGACATTTTTATCCAGGCCTCTTGGGCAATCCTATGATGGTTGCAGGTTTGTCCTTGGATTGACAGGTGCTAGACATATGCACATTTAAAGAATGAAAGTTCAGGAGTCTTCAAAAAGCACACAAAATTCTCCTTTAGAGAATCCTAAAAATATTCTCCAGCCTGCAACACCCTGCTATGCTCCTTCCAAGACTCTGCATATTAGCGGGAGATGAAGCACATCAAGAATCCCAGAGTGATTTTCTTTAAAAGTAAGTTATGGCTTAAAAAAAATCAAGCTATAGTTTTTATGGTACTTAAATATACAGTTCACTCTCGCTCCTGCCACTGCTTTCTGTCCTTTCCACAGTGATAAGAGAGCAGGTGCATTCCTTTAATAGTCTCCTCTGATCTAGGAATAGCAGCAGAGCCTGGTAACAGGGCACATGCGTTGTACGTGTGAGCTATTCCCCTCCATTCAGTCCCCAAGACAGATAGTTTTATACTTTTCATACCACTTTGCTTGATGAGAAAGTGTTCTATAAATACTGAAAATACTCTGAATTGTATAGTGCTGGACTAAACTGGTCAATTGTCTGAGTCAGTCAGTTCCTTCTTTAACTTTTCCGTGCGCCTTGGTGTTTAGTCATGCCGGCCACATGACCACGGAAACGTCTTCGGACAGCGCTGGCTCTTCGGCTTTGAAACGGAGATGAGCACCGCAACCTAAAGTCGGACTCGACTGGCTTTCGAACAAGGGAACCTTTACCTTAATGGGATAAAATGAACTCTCTATACAGAATTACTGAACCCAAATTATGCGTCTTAAATCATGTCAATTTCAGTGGGGGAAGATCTGAGCATATGCTCTGATTACCCCATTTGAATTAATGGGCCTTAGGACCAAGCTAGAGATGCTGAAGATTCGTGTTTGACTCTGTATAGGGTAGATTCACATTTCTTTTAAGTTCCAAGTGTGCTTACATCTGTGCCGATAAGCTACATGGGAATTCTGCATTCTGCCAAAACTTCCTACAGAAGAAAAAGGGAAAATACTAAAAATATAATCAATAAAATACTATGGCCTTACATTTGAGGAAATAGTCCCGTGATTCCAAACAAGCAGGGCTGCCGCTTTTTTCTGAAATCTGGGATTCAGTAGTCACTGTGAGGAGAGAAATTTGCTATGAGTTTACACCAGCAGTTCTGACAGCAAAACTGAAATTACAGTGAAGAAGGTCTTTTATTCTCAAAGAACCCTCATCTCAGAGGCAGGGGCACCATTCCATACTGTCACATAAGAGCACACCTCTTTCCCACTTCAAACCGCTGCCATCAGCAGCTGGACCGCTGTGTTCAGCTATTAAAAACTTATAAAATCAAAAGTAGGCAAAATCCCACAGGTCGCTTAACATGGGATTCAGCATGCAGCTGTGCTACCAGAGTCAGCCAGCAAAAAGTGCTACTCAGAATCCTGTTTTGGTCCTTCACCACCACCACAGAGGCAGGAACAAATAAAGGGACCTTTATTAAACAGAGCTGTTAGGATGGGCAACTCCTTCTCCAGGTCTGTTTGTTCCCTTAACTCTGAAAGCTCCTCTCCCAGCTCTGCTCTCTACCTCCCTCAGCCTTTTCCCGTTTCATGTGGGGATATCAAAGCAGAAGTCCAATGGAACCTTAAAGACTAACAACATTTATTTCAATATGAGTGTTCATGACTTACATCCCACTCTGGACTTTTATTTTGCTACAGCAGACTAACCTAGCTACCCCTTTGCAATGTGTGTGTTTGTGTGTGTGTGTGTGTGTGTATCACCAATGGGGACATGGTTCTGGTCTCGGCAAAGGAGAAGGAACTTATGATCTGGAAATAGCTAGGGTAAGTATCCTGGACTTGCTAGGCAGCCAGGAAGAACATCTCTGCTGCTTCTCCCACAGCATCCAACAGGCCACAAAACATGGCTGTGAAGGGGATTAGGTAGTTGATGGTACCTTTGGAAATTGTCCTTACTCAAGAAGTCAACCAATGCAATCCTAAACAGTAGTATGCCCTTCTAAATCCATAGACTCAGAAGTGTACAATTCTGGTCAAGATTGCACTGAAAGTTATGTAAGCACTCCCACAGCATGCTTTCTAGAGTGTTGCATCTGAGGAGGATTATTTTAGTTACAAAAAAGTAATAACACTGGCCAAATTGAATTAAAAAGTGGTATTTTGTACAGCTGTACAACAAAAATGCAAAAGAAAGGAGTTTAAAGACAGCAATTAGGAAACAGAACAGAGTCAGCTGCCTGTCCTTGCAACTGAGCCAGCAACATTAATGCTTCCATTTCTAGAGTTCCAGTCCTGCTAGGATTAAAGCTTGCCAATAAAAGAATCATTCCCTGCATTTGGAAAGACAAGGAAAGCCACTTTGGACATAGTCCCCAAACCACCCTTGGCCACACCCGGTGATGGTCTGTTTGTTGCCTTCTGTTTTATTTGAGTCATTATGGAAACCTCATAAAACCTTAAGAGGGAGGCATGGGGCCCAGAAACCTGAGGCTTGTTATTACACAAGTTTACAGCAACCCGCACCGCATGCAGTATGCTGAGTGGGGGCTGCAACTTGCCACATCTTTTCCCTCGGAGGTTGCTGGCATTTCACATGCATTTTCTAGTTACAAATCCCAGTGTGAAAGTGCTCCATCTAGAACTCTAGAAGGGAGAAAGATGACCACAGACTATGCAAATAGTACCCTGTGAAATCTAACATGCCAAAGAAGAAGCACAGTTCTGTATGCACAATGTACGACATTAATGAAAAAAGAAGTAACTCTGCTATAATTGCATTAAGGATGGCTTATCAGGTGCATTGCAGGGAAGTATTATGACTTTTTGAAAACACTGGGAGAGGAGGAAGTCACTGGACTGGTGCCAGAAGGCCAAGGGAACTGAGTGAATGAAGAGAGAGGAAGCAATATCTAATTCATTGCTAATACTCTCAGCTCACTCACAGAGGCTGCTGGAGCTCCTAGGAGTTTGGAGTTCTGGACACAGTGGATCCTTGCGGGCAGCAGCTACAGGGATTCCCGCATCCAATAATTACTTAACTGCATGTCCCTCTCTTCCTTTAAGGAATCAGGGTAGTGGGAATAGTTATTTACCTCTCCCATTTTACCTTCACAACAACCCTGGGTAGGTAAAACTGAGAGACTGACCCAAAGTCACCCAGTAAGCTTCATAGCAGAGTGGGGTCTGAGCCCATGTTTCCTCCATACGCTTTGTTAGCCATTAAACCGTAATGCCTGTAGAGATAATTCTGTAGCCACAGATATTTTCCAAAGAAACTGCCCAATAATGATCAGAATGAGCACAGGGTTCTGTAACCAAAGCACTGCTTAGGCCTCCAGGGTCATGCTTTCTTTGTTACAAACCTTCTGGCATCCCATAAAATACAGGTACTTCATCTCCCTTCCCTGAGAGCTGATCCCATTGGTTCTTGCAAATGTTCACTAGCTGCTCCTTCATGGCAGACACAGACTGGCTGGATTTGATAAAGCTCAGCTCTTTCGGGAAGCTTGTAGATGGGAAGGTTTTTTCCTCCATTGCTGTTTTCAGTGCCTGGAACTCCTGGACCAAAAAAGGACAGCGCAATTGACTGTCTGTGGAATTCATTTCACAGACCCACCTTCTCCCAGAACACCAGAGAGCCTATGCCCACATATCATTGTATGGAAACAGACATACGAGAAGGCAGGGGGGAAGGAGAGGGACAGAGGGAGGGAGAGAAACAGCAGCCACACGGGCTGTAGCTTCTAGCGCCTTACTCCATTCCAAATGTGGATCCATGAATAAAATCCAAGTCATCCCTATACTGTCCCTTTACCCAGCCACTACAAATGAAACAGACAATGGCATTACATAATAGCTATTCTTTTTCCTGACAGGAGTAAAGTGCTATGGTCATTTTAGTGCTAAAAATTGTGGGCCTAGTGCAAAGAAAAGCCCCATTGAAGCAGGTCCCCCAATGGGTGAACACACCCATCTACCTACCCAAGTCACGTTTACATATTCACTATTAAAAGTATGTGTGTACATGAATGCAGGCACACAAACCATAGGTCCTAAAATTTGGGATTTTCAAGATTCGTATATATTGAACCCCCTAAAATTTGGGATTCCTGAAAAAAACTGAATTCCAATAATGGTATGGTATTCAGATTTTTGCAGAAATCCAGGGTGGGGTTTTTTTGCTCCATTATACCCTATGGGAGCATTATAGTCAATGGGGAATCTATCCTGGGTTATCCAGGGGTCTGGGGAGGTTGTTTTTTGAGGCAGAGGCACCAAAATTTCAGCATAGCTTCTGGTGCCTCTACTCTAAAGATCCCCCATGTTTCAAAAATATTGGACAGAGGGTCCAATTCTATGGGCCCCCAACCTCCACTGTTTCCAATGGTGGGGGAAAAGCAGCAAAAAAACCAAGGAATGATGTCAAACCAGAGAGTCTCTATGGTAGAAACTGAAGGGGGGAATTTTTCCAAGCCCAGCAGAACCAGTACCACTGTGGCAATGCCAGATCAACAAATCCAAGTAAGGGGGGGGTTTTTTTCCAAACCCAGCATAGCCAGTGCATGTACAGAGTTCCCAAAGAAGGTGCCCCCATCCTCCACTGTTTTCAATGGTTGAACAAAAGAAAGCAATTAAGGGAAAGCACTGGGTTTTGCTGGGCACTAGTACATTGCACAGCTACTGCTCGACACTCTGTACATGCACTGGCTATGCTGGGTTTGGAAAAAAACCCCCCCCTTACTTGGATTTGTTGATCTGGCATTGCCACAGTGGCATTGGTTTTGCTGTGTACTCTGTATATGCACTGATTCTGCTGGACATTCTGTACTTGCACTGGCAGTGCTAGGCTTACAAAAAAAACAACAACAACCCACCCCCGCCTTGCTTGGATTTGTTGATCTGGCATTGCCACAGTGGAATTGGTTTTCCAAAAATGCCCCCCAGCTTCAGTTTCTACTGCAGAGACTCTCTGGTTTGACATCAGTCCCTGCTTTTTTTGTTGTTTTCCCCTCCATTGGAAATAATGGAGGATGAGGGTACCTTCTTTGGGGGTCCATATAATTGTATCACCTGATCCAGTCTTTTTGAAACTTGGGGGGTATTTTGAGTAGAGGCACCAGAAACTACACTGAAAATTTGGTACCTCTACCTTAAAAATAGCCCCCCGTCCCCCCCCCCCACACCCCTGGATAGATTCCTCATTACTGCCTGGGGGGATAATTGACCATAGGCTATAATGGAGTCGAAGGTATTAAAGGTGTCATAGTCCCTTTAAATGCATCCATGAAGCTCCAGCTTCACCCAGAACTCTTTAAATGCTGTTTAACTGCAGCTATCCTGTTTTCCTGGTTAATCCCGAATTTTTTCAGGATTATTTGGGATTGGCTATGCTCGATAACCGAGAATACACCTCCCTCTATATCTGGCAGAAAGAATCGCTGATAAATATCAATAAGGTATTTTTGACTACTTTTTTGGCTCCCTCTATATCTGGCAGAAAGAATAGCTGATAAATATCAATAAGGTATTTTTGACTACTTTTTTGGCTCATAGCAGAATGCACACCCCAAGTCCTAGCTCTACATCATTTCTCCATTAATCCATTATTCTGATGGCCAGATGATTTCTTTCCAGCCCATGCTCTGAAGAACATGGTATCCAGAGACCATATCATACATCATTATTTATTTATTTATTTGATTTATACCCCGCCCTCCCCGTCGAAGCAGGCTCAGGGCAGCTTACATAAAAGTTTTAAAACAGATAAAACATAGCAAATATAAATATAAAACATAAAGTGCTAGTATGCCATTTGTGTAATACTGGCACAGCAGTAGTAGCAAACCATTACAATGACGTACAGTCAGCATTTGAGATCAGTTCATATCGGCGGTGCACAGACTGTCAGTGATGGTATTAGGGCGCAGGGTCTTAAATTCATTCAGAGCGGCTCCTTAGTTGAATGCCTGGTGGAAGAGCTCCATCTTGCAGGCCCTGCGGAACTGTAAAAGGTCCTGCAGGCCCCTGGTGTCTTCCAGGAGCTCATTCCACCAGCGCAGAGCCACCACTGAAAAGGCCCTGGCCCTAGTTGAGGCCAGCCTGGCATCCTTGGGACTCGGGAGGGCCAGACGGTTTTGGGATCCCAAACACAGTGCTCTCTGGGGGGCATGTGGGGAAAGGCGGTCCCTCGGGTATGTAGGCCCCTGACCATAAAGGGCTTTAAAGGTAAGAACCAGCACCTTGAAGCAAATTTGGTATACTATAGGCAGCCAATGCAGTACTTTCAGCGCAGGTTGGATGTGCTCCCTGACGGGGAGGCCCAACAACAGCCTGGCTGCAGCATTCTGAAGCTTCCAAATTTGGGACAAGGGCAGCCCCATGTAGAGAGCATTACAGTAGTCTAATCTCGAGGTGACCATCGCATGAATCACTGTCGCCAAGTTGTTGCGTTCAAGGAAGGGAACGAACTGCCTAATCAGCATCCAAGAGCACCCTCAAACGCCTCACCTCCGGTACTGGCACCAACAGTGCCCCACTGAAGGTCAGCAGTGGGTTCCCTAACCCCGGGCCACCCTGACTCAGGTACAGGACCTTCGTCTTCGTCGGATTCGATTTCACCCAGCTCAGACTAAGCCAACCAACTACCTAAAATGTTTTCCTTTTATTTACCTTAAAATATAACAGATGTGTGCTTGCAAGCATATCTCATACAGGTACACTAATCAGAGACCTGGAATTGGCTACCACTCTTCTGAGATGTACAGGTGGCGGCAAAGCCAGGTTTACTGTTGCACAATATGTGAAATGACCCTTGGTCATTCATCCCCACAAGCACAAATGCCCCTGCTCACCGGGGGGGGGGGGGGGGGGAGGGAGGGAGGAGAGAGAGAGACAAGTGAAAGAAGTAGGGTTGCCAACCTCCAGGTGGGACCTGGATATCTCCTGCTTTTACAATTGATCTCCAGAAAATGGCAGCTTTGAAGGGTGGACTCTATGGCATTGTACCATGCTGAGCAGGTTCCTCCCTGCCCAAACCCTGCCCCCTCAGGCTCCACCCCCAAAATCTCCAGGTAATTCCCAATCCAGAGCTGGCAACCCTAGAAGTCAGCCCCTCCACTTTCATTTATTTTATTTATTCACATTTATATCCCGCCCATCCCGTAAACGGGCTCAGGGCGGGTTACAACAATTTAATACATACAATAACATTTAAAACAGATTAAAACATATAAAAACAGTAGTCATGCTTGCCATAGGGAGAATCTGGCCCCTAGATGTAACTAGCCGGTTACCAATAAGTGGAAGATTGCAACCTCGGGTGGCGGGGGGGGGGGGGATATATGGACTCCTGCTGCCTCAGCCAAAGGCCTGGCGGAACAGTTCTGTCTTGCAGGCCCTGCATGTCCCAAGCTGAGTTTATACAGAGCAAAAGTTACTCTATGGGCACTCCTGAGGTGTGGGAAAGGCAAGGGAAGCGAGGGGTGGAGCCTTCCCTTGCCTTGTCTGCCCCTGTGGTCGGCCCTCTACTGACAGGTTAACCAGTCAAAGAGTAATACTTTGGACGCACCTGCAGGAAAGAGATGGTGTCAGTGCTGGGGACTGTCTCCAAGTTCTGCCTGTACTCAATCAGCTGGGTCCGCTTCTCTTCCTTCTGCCGCAGCTCCTCCTTTGCTTCACCCAGAATAGCTCTTTCACCATCCTCAATGAACCCAAGGACTTCCTTCTGGAAGGCTGCAAGGACTCTGGCTGTCTCAGCAAACTGTTTGCCGACCTTCTCTTTCTCTTTCTGAGCAGTGCCCTAAACAACACAGAGGTGGGTTTATGCCAGTCACTCCATTCAACAAGTCTTGTGGTGCCCCAAAACACGAGCGAGCCAAATGCCTTCCTTTTATAGCCACTCAGAGCTGATGAGCTTGAACAATCCTCCTCATCTTACTCCCACCCTGCAGTTTAGCTTCCAACTCAAAATTCCTCTCCCTTTGAGCACTAAATATGGATGGCATTACATCTGCATGCCTTTAGCACCAGCCTTGGGTGGCTTTGAACCTGAGTTTGAAACCAACTAGTACTGAAAAGAAAGGGATGAACATGAAGTGCACAAGACCAAGAGCAGCTCCTTACTCAGAATTTTTGACCACATGGACCTTCCAGTTAAAATAAGAAAAAGAAAACACTCTTAACTTTAGCCATGATAAACAAATCAGGAAATATCATGTCTAGTGTAAACTGGCATGGCTTTTATTATTCGGATATATTTTTGCCCTTACCAGCTTTTCAGGACTGGGCAAATACCTCCTTGCAAGAATAAAGCAAGATGTCAAGAAAGGCTTTCTTACTACTACTTACTATATACTACTTTTCTGTACACATGAAGGGAGGTCTTTTTGCATGGCAGCAGGGCATTGCAATGTGATTTAACACCTGCAACCAGAAGTGGTACAGTCTTAGTGAAATAGGGGCAGAACTGTTACTGTAACTTTATATAGTCAGTTCTAAAGATAGCCTTCACTCTGAAGCCTCTCAGAATTAGGAAATACAGCAGGGAATTCTGGAAGAAGAAGAAGAAGAGATTGGATTTATACCCCGCCCTTCGCTACCCAAAGGTGTCTCAGAGCGGCTTACAAACTCCTTTCCCTTCCCCTCCCCACAACAGACACCCTGTGAGGTAGGTGGGGCTGAGAGACCTCTTGACAGAAACTGCTCTTTTTCAAGAACAGCTCTTATCAGAACTATGGCTTGCCCAAGGTCATCCAGCCAGGTGCAAGTGGAGGAGTGGGGAATCAAACCCGGTTCTCCCAGATTAGAGTCCACGCACTTAACCACTACACAGAATAAGGTATAGAGAACACTCAAGACTCAATTTTTGCCATTTTTCTGAAAGAAAGTGAAACAGACTTACTTTGATAAGATCTACCATCTTCCTTGTTTGTGCAATGGAGACTCCAAGTTCGTCCATCTGATTCTCAACATTACTTAGAAGTTTTGGCCGCTGGGCCTTTCAAGTAAATAAAACAAGAATCAGAACCTCTAATGTACATGAAGGAGCACATTTCTAATATAAATCTCATGGTAGCAGAGAAATGTGTGCAGTTTATTTATACAAATACTAAAGTTCATAATTTTTTCTAAATATGCTAAACACTCATCTGGGGCATCTGGATTAAGATTTGTACTGAAGACCGTGCGTAGCACCCATGTTTCTATTTTGTTGAAAAATCCACAAATTATAGCCATGCTTTTTTTGTTAGGACCAATAAAACTAGGTTAAATTATGATCAGTGTGATCCTATGCAGAGTTATACAAGTCTAAGGTTGTTGTTCATTTTACTGGGCTTAGACTGGAGTAACACTGCATAGGATTCTAATATAAATTGGATTAAATGGTGCCAGGTACAAAACAGATCTTAAAATGCAGCAAAGGATACAGAGGGTAGGAAGCAAAAAAGGCCACAATTCAAGTATAAAAAAGCCTACATTTGATCAGATCTTTCTTTTCCCTACCAATAAAAGAAACACTGTTGTAAGGTAGCCTTTAGTGTATCTGGAAATCTCTTTTGCATCCCACACCATCAAAACCAATTGAGTCTACAGCAGCTTTTAAGATTCCGGCCTTGGGCTTTCCCATCCTGCCCTGAAACATCTTTGTCTCTTCCTGGCCTAGCCTTTTTTTGCATGGTATTTTTAAACTCAGCAATAGAAATAAGCGGTGGGAAAGCTCAATATCAGAGTACAGAATTATACCCAGCCTGCATTACGGAAAACAAAGTCTGATTTGCAGTACAGTAAAGCCTTTCCTGATTTGAACGAATTTATTTCAGTTGCTGAATTCAGTTTTCTTGTACTCAGTCACCTTTGTAACTGTAATGCCTGTACGTCCTTTGACAAACGTAGTGGTGGCCTTAAAAACCTGCGAGGGGAGCTGTGTTCCCGCATTTCCAAATGTCCAGCATTTGAATTGAATGAGTACTCCTCACCCATAGCTGGAAAGACAGGGAGGAGCCAAACTGTGTGCCCCAGTGGGGTTCCAGACTCTATGTAAACAATATGCTGGAAGGAGATAAAGACCAGGCTGAAAGGGTTGCGCTAAAAGGAACAATAATTGCTCTGCCAGAGAAACAGCTACAGTCCATATCGTATCAACACCCCCACCCCTACCAAAAAGCAAGGAAATGAAGAGTGCCATGGAGAGTGCTTATCTGGGGAAGGCCTAACAAACTACTGAGCTCTTTGAAGGGGTGGGGAAAGAAAAGAGGCTAAACTGTAAGGTAGCCCTGATTGATTCCACAGAATGCCAGATTCTAGTAATACGAATGCTCCTTTCCCCAAAGTGGGGAATAGTTCTTTCTTATTTGTATGTGGTAACTTATGTAAACTTTTTTTTGCTGCCAAGCCACAGCCAACGTATGGTGACCTTGTGGTGCTTTTAAGGTAAGAGATATTCAGAGGTGATTTGGCATCACCTGGCTCCGTTTCATGACCCTGGTATTCCTTGGTGGTCTCCCATCCAAATACTGATCAGAGTTGAACCTATTTAGCTTCCAAGATCTGATGAGACCAGACTGGCCTGGGCTATCCATGTAAACTTACAAAACATATCTGTTGCCAAGCTTTGCAGAGCAAATAACAGCCGGTTAGTAAGAAAGAAACTGTCCTGTGAATTTGATAGTGGCCACTCTGTGGTTCTATTTGTTCTGTAGAAGGCCCTGGAGTATTACCTCTCTGTAAGACCACCAAACTGTGTAAGCCATTCTGATTTATGTATGCTTGCACACACGTACAGCAGAACAGTCTTTCAGACATGCAATTTTAAAAAAGCAAATTAGTTTAGAAGAAGAAGAGATTGGATTTAAAATTAGTTTAGGCCTTCCAAATGTGGTAATTCCTACCACAGAGCCAAAAGCAATCTATTTTTGCCACACAGGAAGGCTTCTATCCCTTCAGTTCCACCAGGAGTGACAGCTACAGACAAGGGCTGTGCAAAAAACCCCAAAACCTGGCATTTTTCGGGTTCCAGGATATTGAACCCCCCAAATATTCGTATTTCCCGATATTCCTGAATCCCAATACCAGTATAGTATTCGGATTCAGGAAATATTCAGGAAACCTCTTGTACAAGGCAACCTGCATCCTAAACACTGACTATGGGGGCACTGGTCCCCATAGGGTATAATGGAGAATTGATGTGGGGCTCTGGGTGAGCTGTTTTTTGAGGTAGATGTACCAAATTTGCAGCATAGCTGCTGGTGCCTTTCCTATAAAATCAAACCCAAGTTTTAAAAAGACTGGACCAGGGGATCCAATTCTTTGGGCCCCCAAAGAAGGTCCCCCATCCTCAATTTTCAATGGAGGTGAAAAATTTACTTGCCAAATTGTGCAGTGACAGTGGCACAGCTTGGAGAAGGCATTTAATGAGGATCGGTTTAAATCTACACCAAGCTACACCACTACTGTGCAACTCGGTGAGTGAAAGGCATTTAGGGAGGGTCTCTTTAAATGCCTTCTCCAAGCCCCGCCACAACTCAGGGAGTGAAAGCAATTTAAAAAGACCACAGCCTCCTTAAATGTCTTCTCATAGCTGCACCTGAATAAAAGCTGAATAATATTGGCTTTTATTCAGGCTCAGCTATATCGGTAGCTGAAAAGGTATTTTTTCCTGTTTGTTGTTGTTGTTTGGGTAAACCGCAGACTGATCTGGCACCACAACAATATTGGGGACAATTTATAGCTGCTTGGCAGAAGGGAACTACTTAGAGTTCAGGATATGGGACTGCTTTGCAGGGCATTGGTCCCTCTTGCTAAATATTCTAACCAGAGGGAATTCTCCAAGTCATTCCCATCCTGCTACCTAAGATCTTTAAACTGGAGATGCCAGGGATTGAACCAAATCATAGTTCTTCTACAGAGCACTGGGACCATCTATAGAGTACCTAATGCTTGTAAATGTATTTTAAAAGAAAAAAATGCCATTTTTAGCTCACAGTTCCTCCTTTGTCATAACTTTGCTACCCATCAAATTTCATGCCATATTTTACAGATGGTTCCCTCCCCTACATTCCCATAGTGACTGCCTCTACTGTTTTAAGAAAATCTGTTTCCACTTTCAAAACCAATGCTGGCCAGCCTGTCTAGTACTGCCAACTTTTAAACTGGTCCCTCTAGCTGTCACTTTAACATCAGTTTGATCTACAGCAATCGCTAGGTGATATTTAACTCCATGCCATGAAAACCTTCGTTTCCTCATATTAAACCTCTATTAAAGGGACAGGACATTTTTTTCCTGGCCAACTGGCCATCATAATGGCAATAAGAGCTTCCATCCTCTCATCTAGCTGACATTTCAAGATGGGGATACTGAACATCAAGTACTTCCTCCAATTATAATGAACTTTAACAGACTGCCGCAACTTCCAGGTTTTTTTGCAAGCACCATCTCTAAGTGGGATCATGTTTAAACAACATTTTAATTCCAACGTGTGCACCACTTTCTAAATGTTTAGTGCACTCCACTTATTCATTTAATATAAGATTGCCTATAAGCGTAGTCCCAACACATAAATGGACTGTGCATGTATCCAGAAGGATGGGCATCTCAGGATGCCCTGTAATTAGATAAACAGAGGCATTCACCCCATACTCCATGGGCAGTGCCTGGGCCTTTTGAGGATATTATGTATATAGCCCATTTGTGAAAACTTCCCTTTTCCTACCCTCAAATGCTCCATTAAAAAAAAACTAACCAAAAGCCAAGTGGTTTTTAAATGACAGTACATCACAGCTGTGGAGCTAAAGTGGCTCAAGTGGTTAAGACGCTGAACTGCAGCCTGTGGAAGGTTGGTAGTTCAGCAGTTCGAGACCCGGGTGCCGCATGATGGAGTGAGCTCCCATCTCTAGTTCCAGCTCCTGCCAACCTAGCAGTCCGAAAGCAAGAAATTGCAAGTAGATAAATAGGTACCACTTCGGCGGGAAGGTAACAGCGTTCCGTGTGCCTTGGTGGTTAGTCATGCCGGCCACATGACCACGGAAACGTCTTCGGACAGCGCTGGCTCTTCGGCTTTGAAACGGAGATGAGCACCGCAACCCTAGAGTCGGATTCGACTGGCTTTCGAGCAAGGGAACCTTTACCTTTTTACATCACAGCTACAAGCCTTTCCAAATGTAAGAATCCGCAAAACAACACAGTGAATGCACCTTTGGGAGACGGAGCTGAGCTTTCTCATGAACTGTGCCATAGGATGAACTCTACTGAAACTGACAGCTCAGATAAAACTAGTGGGTGAAAATTTGGGAGATGAGTCATCGCTATACGGGAAGGGGAGTGAGGCGGAAAAAATCCCCACCATCCATCGTCAGTGGAACACAAAAGACTAACGGATCAAGGAGTAGAATCTGGGAAAGGTGCCAAGTGAAATAAAGGAGCCAATTTCAGCCATGGTGGGAAAGAGCTGCAGGGGTGGGTGGGGGAATAAACTAAAGCTGTCGAATCAGGAAACTGGTTTGGCTCAGTAACACCAGAAGGTGTTTGCCCTCTCTCTTTCAACTTTTGTGTTTGCCTTGTCCCAAATAAAAATTCACCAGATTGCTTGCATGTGTGTAATCCGGCAGCCCAGACAGAATCCACCAAAATGAAGATCAGCTACATGCTTGAAGTTATAGACATCATGTTGATGGATTTTGCAAAATGTAATCATCACCTCTCCTGGCAGGGCAGCATTCTCGGCGTTGGCTAAAATCGAGCAGCACCAGAAGAACATGCAAATACCAGGTGCTTCCAGGTGCTATTTTCCTGCCTTCTGCATTAAGATAAAAGTAGCTCAAATACAGTAAACCTTTATCAATACTTTGGAAAGTATAGTATGTTGCGACTGCCACAGGAACTGTTCCTCATTGAAAAAATTCTCTCACCACCTACCTGCCAATGCCTTTTGGATCCCCACTGTCTAAAATTCATTCATAACCTGGCGCAGTCTCTCCCAACATCCTGCTTCTTGACTCTAG